AGGGTTTAGGGTGGAGCACCCCCCCGCGACCAGAAGACCCTAGTCATGGCCGTAACATCCTGCATGGCACCCGAGGAAGGCCTAAGGACGTGTCAGATTACATCTTGAATCTTGTTCCTTCACAATAGCAGGTGGTACGGATACTTGCTATTAGGATTGCAAATTATACGACGACTATTAAGTGAACTTGATGAACTGCTACGTATCGGTGACGGTTCGGAATTTTGTTGGGCTTGCGTCCTCTTGCACTACTGTCATGGCTTGTTTGCCTTTGGTAACCAACTTCCTCTTTAATTCGACTACCAAATAATAATGGCCCCGTCAAGGAGTTTTGACGCTAGGTTTCTTCTGATGCCTGGCTTGATTGACTACTTGCAATTTGTGGATACTCACTGTTCTGCTTGTTTCCTTTGTTCTGTCGTAGTTCTTTCTGGCTGAAGATGAAGAAGAGTCGGTTTGAAAGATCGGTGTGTGTTCCCTTGTCTGGGTTTTTCTGGTTGATCAATATGAGTTTTCTAGGACTGCTGAACATCGAAATCATCCAAACCTTCATCCTCCAACAAGAGTACCGATGTCGTCCGTCGTTCATCTTTCTCGTAGCAGTCGTACTCTTCCTGTTTGCATCTCCATCAACAGCTCTTCATGCATAGGGCGCCGTCGCATTTATATATTGGATACAAAAGATCACAAGATCATTTGGCACCTGCGACTAGCGAATGCTTCGCCGCTTCTTTACCTTCTTCCCAAACTGAACGTCCTGCACGTTCAAGTCTTTGTCTGATCATGTCTTTTCTTTGACCATTGCCTACCCTGCTTGAATCAGGCTCTCAACGAACAAACGACTCTTACCTTTGCCGCCTTTGCCGCCTCTGCCTTTGGTTTTTAAACTTTAACATCTGTTCGTCTTGCTCGGCAGTGAACTGTATTTCCCTTATGTAAGTGTAGCTGACAGCACAAAACATCGTGTGGTCTACATTTTCCACTGCATCATCATCTTGATATTTCTCTTCTTCCTCTGCTGCTTCGGTAGGCCTTTACCAAGGTGGGACATCATCACCATCACCACCTTGACTATCTTCTTCACCATCATCATCATCGTCATCATCATCCTCGTCGTCATCATCATCCCCGCAATAAATCATCCTCGTCGTCATCATCATCCCCGCCATAATCATCATCGTCGTCAGCATCAGCCTCGCCATAATCATCATCGTCGTCGTCATCTGCTACATGACTTGACATTGGTTGAACTGGAACACGAGCGGGTAATTGGTCTAAAGACATCATCCAGGCTGTCTCTCGTGATGTGCTTCCATTCTCGCATCTATAATAGCAATAGTAGCACTAGTATTAATTGTCGTATTAGTAGTACTACTAGCGATCGTGGCAATAAAAACCGTAGCAGTATTCCTTCACCTGCTCATCTGTCATACAATCTTCACTTGTTCATGTTGCACATCAAGTTTGGCATTTCGCACCCATCTTGCATAGTAAGCACCTATAGGAGTGTTGCCACCATAGCTCAACAGTCTAATGATGAGCCGGGTGCGTCTTGTGCAATCACAGCTGTTTCTCTCCCATTGCCATTGCCTGGTGTCTCAGCTGGGTGTATCGCGGTTATTCATGTCTTTTTCCGTGGTTCTTGATGTGTCTTCAGCCCCAGCAAATAAGCAGTCTCAAACTGACTTCCAAATTGGTATTCGCCAATAAATGTCGCCCCTCTATCAGTTTTCAGAAGGCGGTCTGCTAGGCTGCTAGGATCTCCATCGTAGGTTGTAGGTCAGCCTCAGGCTCAGCCCTAATTTTGATGATAGTTTTGTAATCATAACTCAGATGTGCGGGTGTGTCCGCAAAATCCTTCTGTTTCTTTTATAGCGGCATCATCGGTCTTCCCAGATGCCTATGAATATCATCCAGTCGCCCCTGATACAAACGCGCTGAGGTGGCAGCTCCCCAAACATGTGAACGCCTACTCAAACATGTGCCGAAATTTCGCGGAGGCCAACCCGCCCCGAGACCCACGACATCAGTTGGCCTGCACCACGACATCGGAGAACGGCGCGGCCTGTTGAGCTTTTGTCTCGGATACGGCTGCTGCAGCGAATGCGATAAGAGGAGGAAGACGACGCTGTCGCTCGTGCTGATGATGGCGCTGGTGGTGGGGGAATGCTGATGGCGATGAAGATTATGTTGTTTTCACGGCTAGTGCGAGAATGATGACGACGATGATGAGCACCACGATGCCGCTGATGCTGACGGTGATGATGACGATAACGGCGGTGATGATGAGCAAGACGATGCATGGTGATACTGACGACGATGATGATGATGGCGATGGTGACGATGATGCAGACAGCTGGCGACGACGATTACGATGACGACGATGATGATGAGTATGAAGATGAACTCTAAACTTCAGTATGAACATGAATATGAAGATGGTGATGAAGAGGATGAAGAAGATGCAAGTGCGTGGTTGTAGGTTATGGTAAACAAGATTGCGATCTGCAGGTCTTTTCTGTGGTTTCGGAGCCTGGATGTGAAGGCTTCGGACCTGTAATCGCGGTGAGCTGCCAGTTCAGTTCTGCTGGGCTGGAAGATCTTCGTGAACATATCAATCCTTGCGCACATGTTGATCCGGTATTCCGTCGCAATGCCAGCCGGGAAACAAGACCTCTTGAATGAACTACAGTTACGCCTTCAAACAACAAGAGCCGTTGACACGAGTAACGATCGTATTTATACGGCAAAGGCAAAATCCAAAGGTTCATGGAACCTCGCGCAAGGCCGCCAGCCTGTGGGAAGCTCGCCATCACCTCGGCATGGAGCGAGTGCGTTGCACTTATGATATAAATCCTGCATTACCTTGAGGGCCCTAAACTATGGGAATTATGGTATATTCCTTACTATAGGTGATGCAGGATTTATATCATCAACCGGTTGCATTGATGTTTTGGAGAGTCCCGGTGTGCCAGCACCCACATCCGGAGACCGAGTGCCGGACTCGCAGAGCACTACAACCCCTTCACGGAAACTCAAACCTGACGACCGATGGTTTAGGGTTTAGGGTTTAGGAATCGCAATCAAGTATCCTGAGACCCTAACAAGATTGAACGAAAAGGGTCCAGGGTTCAGGGTTTGCTGGTTGGGGCTCAAAGGGTTGGGGTTGCGACTCATATTGAAAGAACCCGGCCGAGGACACGCCGCCTAAACCCTAAACACAAGCCCTAAACCACCCTAAACCGTAAACTCTAGGACGCTCCGCCCAAACCCTGACCACAACCCCTCAACCATCAGGGTTTATAAACCCTATAAACCCTATAAATGCCCTAAACCCTGAACCCCTAAACACAAGCCCTAAACCCCTAAACTCTAAACCCTAAACCCTAAACCCTAAACCCCTTCTTTCGCAGTGCACAGGCTGAGTTGCGACAGAAGCCCGGGATCCGCCGATTGCTGCGGTGCTCAGGCCCGTTAGCGTTGAAGGATGGTGCTAGTCTCAGCCGTCAGACACGACTCTGAATCTTTAGAGATCCTAAACGCAAAACCTACTAGAAGACTGGTGAGAGTGGGATGGTTTCTAAGCATGGCTATGATCACTATAGATGTTTTTGTGTATTTAAATTAAAGTGTTTATGAGCGTGAGCACAAGGTTCGTTGGGAAAAGATACGCGAAGCCGGAGGCTCCGGGACACGACCACGAGCATCCTTAGGATGCGTGGAGCTTCGGCGAAGATTTGTCGCCAATGACGACAGGGGGGCCCTCCGTACCGGGCCCCCCGCTAGGAGCCCTGCCATTACACAGACATCTGCTGTGCTCAATCAGGTATTGTGCAAGGGCCCCTGTCTCTTTTTGTGTGGATTCAGCTAGCTATGCTTAGATTTGAGTGCAGCCGTGGGAGCTTGTAGGCGCCGTTAGGGTGCGTCAGTACTCTTCATGCAAACTGAACTGCACCTAACAAATGGAAGGACGAGAAAGTATATACTGATCATCGTAATGGTCACCTGGGCAGCACCAGTAAAAGTAGCGGCAAGGAATGGGCAGCAGCAACAGCTTCATCAGCAGCAGCATCGGCAGCAGCAGCAGCAGTGGCAGTAATATCACTAGCAAAAGCAGCAGCAGTGATAGCAGCAGCAGCAGTAGTAGGAGGAGGAGAAGTAGTAGTAGTAGTAGTAGTAGTAGTAGTAGTAGTAGGAGTAGTAGTAGTAGTAGTAGTAGCATCAGCAGCAGGAGTAGTAGTAGTAGTAGTAGTAGTAGTAGTAGTAGTAGTAGTAGTAGTAGTAGTAGTAGTAGTAGTAGTAGTAGTAGTAGTAGTAGTAGTGTAGTAGTGTAGTAGTGTAGTAGTGTAGTAGTAGTAGTAGTAGTAGTAGTAGTAGTAGTAGTAGTAGTAGTAGTAGTAGTAGTAGTAGTAGTAGCAGCAGCAGCAGAAACATGCAATACCAACAGCAATGACATACAAAGGTACAACCATGCCACAAAAATATTAATCGAATGATGAAAGCGAGCAGAAGAAAATAAACAGCGAAAGCGGCAAGCTAAACAAACAAGAAGCTAGCGTAAGCAGTTCCAATAGTTGCAATGAAACAAGTTCATTCACTGCGTTGCTATGGGTGACAATCATGCAAGTTAACAGTTCTGATGATGATAGCAACACCAAGACATCAACAGAACAGCCACGGAACAGCCACGAGAAGCCAACAAGCTGTGAAACAGAAAATGGCTGAAAGGGTAGTGGTAATGACAGCTATTGCCAGAAGTACATAAAAGAACAGCCAGCGCAGCAAGAAGTAGACTACAGCCCCAAACCCTAGATTCTACCTATAGTCTCCGTTGTAGTTCCTTTTTTGGTTAGACCAATTCTATAGTTAGGATCCTATAAGGTAACCCAAAAAAGGAACTACAAAGGAGATTATAGGTAAGCCCAATAAGCAATGAATGGTCAAAACCGTAAGGTTGCCAGTACTTTCCTGGATTCAGGGGACCTTTTTTCTGCCCCCTCTCAGGCGAATCTTTGAACGTCAGTCACCTTGGCCGTGGCCAAGAGCGTAATCTGATCGTCGATCCTTGGCGGAACAGGTTTGACGTATGCGATTGGAGGTTTCGGGGCTAGGAGTCGAGACTAAACGGAATTTCGGCTTAGGGTCTAGGGCTTGGGACTTACAGGTTTGGGGCTTATGGAGTTTAGAGTTTGTGGTTTGGCGGATCATGGCACTAGGAAGATATAGGAAGCCAAAGGCCCACACCCGACAACGCTACCAGACTCAACGGTATACACCGAGATGACCCGATTAACAATACAACGACAGCCCGGACCTCACTAGAAGCCAGCGAAAACAAGGGATGTGCTGTGGGCCACTTCACAGTCGATCCCGATGAACAACACTATTTGGACAAACCCTCAACCCAAAACACCTAAACCCCTGAAACGCTAAACCTTAAACCCGAAACTAGGTGAGCCCTTTAAAGCCTCTGAAAAATAGTTGTGGATAGGGTCCTACTAAGCCCAATAAGGGAACATATAAAATATCCCAAAGGCCTACCTAGGAAACCCCACACCAAAGGATCCATGAATCGTTCTCGAGTACGCTCACCTACGCTGCGGACGGTGGTTTTGGGCAGCTGGTTCTGAATAACCTATCGAGTCCCTTATCTAGGATACCCAGTAACCTAAGAACAAAAAGGTAGGTTCCTTAGGGTCCAGGTAGGGTTTAAGGATCCTGATTAACCGATTACGTGATTACGCCACCTAGGATACCCAGTAACCTAAGAACAAAAAGGCCTCTCTTTTTGGTATTGGGTAACTTTATAAGGACCCTAGGACTACAAAAAGGGAATAAGGGTACTACTGGGCATCCTAGTTATAGAATTCCTTGCTTGAAAAGACCCCAGACCCAGAGACTCCACTATCCCTTGATTAAGGAATATACCTTAAATCATACTAGGGATCCTACTAATTATAACTTACAGTATATTCCTTAATTGAGGGATCTTGGAGTTTCTGGGGAACCGTCTCCAATTTGGACTGAGAAGCATCCTGGACCCGACGCCACACCCGGAAATGCTATAAACCCTACGGCGTAACGTAGCAGTCTTGGTAGCTAGATTTGGGGGAGGGTAGTTGTCAAAATTATGGCCCCTAATTGGGTACCCTAAATATTCGGTGCCGTATTATAATTTTTTCTGTCGAGCGCAGAAGGGCTCCCAGCAGGCTTGTGAGAATGCAAAAGCACGAGTAGAGGTACACTAGGACAGTGAGACAAGTTCAGCAGTCATTGAGGATACATTCATCTTCAAGATATTTAGCGCTGCAATAAGTATACAGAAAGCAACCATTTAAAGCCAATCCTGAACCAGCTTTAGGCTTCGGGGGTTTTGAGGTTTGGGCATGTAGGTCCCGGAGACTCCAATATCCCTTAATTACGGAATATACCTTAAATTATAGCAGGATCCCTAATAATGATTTAAGGTATATACCTAAATTAAGGGGATATTGGAATTTCTGGGTTCTGCGGTTTCGGAGTTGCATTTTTAGGATGTGGGGCTTAGGATATCTGTCTTCAACTGGAGTCCGAGCCCGCAGTCCCCCGTAGCGACTCCCAAGAATCATATGAATCATATACTAGGATACCCAGTAACCTAAGAATAAAAAGGCCTCTCTTTTTGGTATATAAGGAACCTAGGACTACAAAAAGGTAATAAGGGTACTACTGGGCATCCTAGTATAGAAAGCCTACAAGTTGCATCGGCTGAAATAGCACGAAAAGCCAGGGTGATAGTACTTGGGAGGCATTGGTTAGACCCTTGCTGAAGCGAGGTGAAGTCTCAGAACCCTACATCCTAAACCCCGGACCAAAACCTCAATCCAAACCCACACCCTAAACCTTCGACTACGTAATTAGTTCCTTAACCTTGAACTTGAATCCCATAAGCCCGAAAAGCCCAACAACCCTAAAAGCCCAAGAACCCTAAGCCTTGTGGCAAGCGTCATTCTCCTTGCTGGCCTGTTCTGCGATGGTCGGCTCGGCCTCCTGGCGATGATCTCCGCCGTCTCGAGAGCACCTGCAAAGCGGATCCAAACTTTAAACTACCCAGAGGCCCCAAAGTAGTTCCTTTTTGGGGTTCATATATAGAATCCTATAAGGGAATCCCAAAAAGGAACTACTATGGAGCTCTGGGATTACCTTATAGGATTCTATATATGAACCCCAAACAGGAACTACTTTTGAGCCTTAGGGTAGGCTGTCGGGTTGGGGGCTTGGTGTTAGGGTTTAGGCCCTAGGGTGGCTTACATTAAGGTTTAGGACAAGGGTCTTGGTATTCGGGTTCTGGGTGCTGACGGGAATTCTGGCACCAAGCAAACCATTGGGGGCCTGTGGGAATGCAGCTGAGATTGCTTAGGGCTTCTGAATAAAAGTCAGGAAGTGTCTGAGCAAAATCCTGCAGTCAAGTGGTACTGGGCTCTCCGCGTGAGTCCTCCAGCCAACGCTGTCAGGTGCCAGTCTCACAAGGTAAGGGGCCCTAATTACTGAAAACAGGAAGTGCGCCCAACTAATTAAGCCTCAGTGCTTCAGGACCCGGCAATTTAGGCTGAACTGAACCCTCCCCTGAAAGCCCCCAACACTGAGCCTCAAACCCAAGGCCTAAACATCCCGAATGACGAGTCTCAGGATGAAAGGGCTTAGGGTTTAGGGCTTAGGCTTTAGGGCAAAGGGTATAGAGTGTAGGGTTTACCTTAACCCCAAATAACCTACCTTTTTATGGACTTACATAAAGAAATCATATTAGGTAGGTTCCTGAGGGTCCAGGAAGGGTTTAAGGATCCTGGGTAAGCGATTACGTGATTACGCCACCAGGGCTAGAGCTGTTCAAGCTGCAGAGGACCAGGCCCAAGCCCAAACCACAGACCCAGAACCTTCCCTAAGGCTCAAAAGTAGTTCCTTTTTGGGATTCGTATATAGAGTCCTATAAGGTAATCCGAAAAAGGAACTACTATGGAGCCTCTAGGTTGATTCAACTCTTAAAGCTCTAGGACCCTCAAACCTGACGCAGAAGTATATGAAATCCATAACTGCAAAACCTGATTCCGAATTAGGCCCTAAACCGAGCCAAATCTCTATCAACGGAATACCATGAAATTGGCACAAGTTTCACTAGTTGTTTATGAAAATCCTTGAAAATGCCAGCAAAGGCACCCATCAAAATTTTGATCTGCTCCTCGAGGCGTCTCACATTCTTCTCCTGGGTCGCCACCAGCAGACCCAAAGGGTCCAAGTATCATTATGGTACATACTTAGACCCCCAAAATAGCCTATAAGTATAGACCATAATGATACTTGGACCCTTTGGGAGAGAAGAGTATACCACGCTGGTTTTTGATGTATGAACCCTGAGCCCCAAACCCTAAACCCTAAACCCTCAACCCTAAACCCCTAAACCCTAAACCCCTAAACCCTAAACCCTGAGCCCCAAAACCCTAAACCCTAAACCCCTAAACCCCTAAACCCCCAAACCCTAAACCCTAAACCCTGAGCCCCAAACCCCGAACCCCGGATCTCGACCCCAACTCTTCTAGGTTAGCCAGTAACCTAAGAATAAAAAGGCCTCTCTTTTTGGTATTGGGTAACTTTATAAGGAACCTGGGACCACAAAAAGGGAATAAGGGTACTACCGGGCATCCTAGTCTACATCCAGAGATCTAAATTTCAACCCCTAAACCCTGAACTCAAATCCTTCAACTTCCAAACCCTGGGGCGTAAGGTCCACATATCGCTATCACAGAGTATTCACCACCCGACGACATCATTCGATCCCAACCTAGAGAGCCCAGAGGACTAGGCCTGAAGTCCCAACAACAAGCCCCGTATGGCTTCAGGACTTAAGGAGAATACCGTCTGCTAATCACAGCATAAAGCCCCTTGCGAAAGACAAACACATTACAATACTGAATGCAGGGCTACTGGGCGCTCTGGGAAGAAACTCTTAAGACTTGCACTATCGCCCAAGACTCCGGGATTTCACTTAGGGGTGTAGGGTTGAGGCGTTTAGGGATTCTGGAATGTGGGTTTGGGGATGTAGCGTTGAGGCTTTTGGGGTTTAGGGCTCATTTGCATGCCCAGTCTCCATCATGATCTGATCGATGGCTCGTGCCGGGCCCTTGCATCTCAAAATGCCGTCGATGAAGTCGGCACACGTAATTTGTCCATCACCTCAGACGGCGAGCCCTCACAACTCCGTGCAACAGGGTCGTGTCATTGATTCTGAATTTCTGAATTCCCCAAGTCTCAGTGATAATGGTATCTAGGTCCCGCAGTAAACTTACTTTTGTACTGCAACTAGAGGCTTACTTTACTACTTTACGGCAATTAGAGGCTTAGTAGAGGCTTAAAACCTACTACTGTACCGCAATTAGGGGCTTAGCAGAGGCTTATATAATTTTTCTTACAATTAGAGGCTTGGTGGAGGCTTAAAAAGGCTTAAAGCGTACTATTCTTTGTAATCAGAGGCTTAGTGGAGGCTGAAAACTTACTACTCTACTGAACTGGCCTGGGTCCGGAAGTATCCATTCCTCATCAATTCGCTTCTTCAAAGAAGCCCAAAATCATTCCACCCTGAGCTACCCATTACGGCCGGTCTCCGGAGCGGTACTACTACTACTACTACTACTACTACTACTACTACTACTACTACTACTACTACTACTACTACTACTACTACTACTACTACTACTACTACTACTACTACTACTACTACTACTACTACTACTACTACTACTACTACTACTACTACTACTACTACTACTACTACTACTACTACTACTACTACTACTACTACTACTACTACTAGTCCGCGAGTGCGGGCTGCTGCGCGCTGCTTGTGTGGGCTCCCCGGCGCGCCCCCTAAACGATTTATTGACCATGTTTCTTAGGGGGACCCCCCCACCTAATCAAAAGCACGGATTACGGTGAACGCATTTAATAAGAAATCGTTTCAAACAAGAAATTGGGGTCTCGCTAGATCGCAATTTCTTAGCTCAGCGTCCAGATGTCACGGAATTTCTTAATCAAACAACCCCCCAACCCTTTCACCTTCCAGCCTCCAGTATCCACCAACCCAGCCCTCCAAGCCCTCCAAGCCCAGCCCTCCAGCCCTCCAGCCCTCCAGCCCCCAGCCCTCCAGCCCTCCAGCCCTCCACTCTCCAGCCTCCAGCCCTCCAGCCCTCCAGCCCCTCCAGCCCTCCAGCCCTCCAGCCCTCCGGCCCTCCAGCCCTCCAACCCTCCAGCCTCCAGCCCTCCAACCCTCCAGCCCTCCAGCCCTCCAGCCCTCCAGCCCTCCAGCCCTCTCCAGCCCTCCAGCCCTCCAGCCCTCCAGCCCTCCAGCCCTCAGCCCTCCAGCCCTCCAGCCCTCCAGCCCTCCTCCCCTCTCCAGCCTCCAGCCCTCCAGCCCTCCAGCCCTCCAGCCCTCCAGCCCTCCTCCTCCAACCCAGCCCGAGTTGCCACAAAAAGGCCTGAAAGAAGGACCAGAGGGATTGTTGGAGGCTGGAGGGCTGGAGGGGCTGGAGGGCTGGAGGGCTGGAGGGCTGGAGGGTTGGAGGGCTGGAGGGCTGGAGGGCTGGAGGGGCTGGAGGGCTGGAGGGCTGGAGGGCTGGAGGGCTGGAAGGGGTCTGGAGGCTGGGGATACTGTTTTAGAAATCCAATTCAGACCCTGAACCTATCTCACATTTCTAATTTCCAGGTTGCCCCCATAAGAAATTTCCAGGGTCTGATCTCACCTGCGCCGTTTCTTATCGAATGTATTTGCCGTACTCAAAACAGAGAATAAGGGTACCCTTTTTGCGACTATTCGGGATGAACTGAGGAGAGCAGAAACTCAAAACAAGAAGGCCAGAAAGGTACTGCTGGGGAACCAAGGTATTAAAAGCCCAACACCACTGACCAGCTGTGGCTGCTGATGATGATGATGACGATGATCAAAATGCGACGGCGAAGCGACGCCCACTCGTCAGCATCATCACCATCAAGATCTTCATCACCATCATCATGATCAGAATGCACTGTAACTATACTATAGGGAGTTCATTGATACTATAACGCGACTATATGAAGACTACTACAAGACTACAATACTGCTTCTTCCACGTTTTCTTCTGCATCACCATGTCCAGGGGCGTCACCGTCGCCAAAGCTAACAACACGCCGCAAGAGCAGAGGAGGAGGCGGAGGAAGCGGATGAAGAGGACTACTAAGGATACTTTATCGGAACCCCCATTAAGGGATCTACTTTTTGGATCCTCCCGGGGATCTGGGTAAAGGTTTGGGATTTCGGGGAGGATGAAGAGGAGGAGGAGGATCAGAAGTAGTCCTGGTAGTAGTCGTCGTCGTAGTACTAGTACAGGAGTAGTTCTACCAGGAGAGCAGTGGTTACTCGTCGTGGGGTTGGACATGCTGGCACAAGGCCTGAGTCTAGGTAGCAAGTGGTGGTCGTGATCGATGCGGTGATTATGAGATGGTGAGTGGTGTTTGTGGCCAGAGTAGTTTATAAGCCTAAGCAAAGATGACACCACGAACACGGATAGCCGCCGATGTCCTTCAAAGCATGACAGCAAGTAGGGATACAGTTGGCCCAGCTGCGTGCCACTTGATGCAATGACTGCAATGGACTTTTTGTCGGTAGTGCGACACGGAAGTTTAGATGCCACTACACCCATCAGTGAGGCCTGGGAATTGCTAATTAGCACAAACCTGCAACTGCCAATACATCCAGATCACTGTTGGCAAGCAAGTGGAACAATGCAGAGGACTGCATCACGTCGATCTCGAGGGTCTCTAGGTAGGTAGTCACCCGCGAATCCATGAAAAGCTCATTCAGCTCGTCCTCGTCAATCAAGCCGTCCTGACTCTCCTGGGCATGTTGACTAGGCAGGGCAATTACATCGAGGCATCAGCGAGCCTCTGAGAAGCGGCACTCTTCTCACAGCGGAAACTGAAACCTCGAAACCTTGAACCCGAAACAGCCAAACAGTTGCAGCCAGCTTGCATCAATCGCATTGAAGATGGATTCGAGTTTGTGAATGTAGGTGGCCTTTCTTCGCAGACCTGGGAGACTGGGTTAGGGCTTCAAGGTTTCACGCGGCTTAGGCTGTATGTGGGTAAATCCCTATTGAATTTTAGGGCCCTTCGTTCCAAGGGTGCCGTACCAATTTTTTGACCTCACAAAGGACGCTAATTCAGAGAAATACCCATGAGAGGCTAAGGATTTATGTCGAGTTTAGGGCTTATGAGGTGCGTTGGGGTTCAGGGCGAGGACTGGTACATCCACCTTTGTGCATTTTGGAGGAACCGAAACTCAAGACACTCACCTGCCTGGCCCAGAACACCTCTTGAAATGCCAACAACTCCTACGCCCAAAGCGCTTCAAAACCGCTAGTTTAGGGTTTAGGGTTCAGGGTTTAGGGCCCCAAACCCTAAACCCTAAACCGGTCTAGCATTGAAACCTCTAAAGCCCGAAAGACACAGGGCTTGTTGGCATCCTAAACTTCACCCCTTCTAAACCTTCACCCTGAACCTTTCAACAAAAAAAAGGCACGGGGCCTTGTTGGACCAGCTTTTTCATAAATCCTAGAAACTACCTCATCGAAACCTTAAGCCCTGACACATCAAACACCAAAAAACACGCGGCCTTGGACAAGTTTCGGACGAATCCTACGACGATTTCACCCATTCAAAACCTTAAGCCCTAGCCCTTGAAAAAACCCAAAAACACACGGCCTTCTTGGACCATGAGCTCTGCGTCGTTGTTAGCGGCCTCTAGGGTCTCGCGGAGGAAGATGGCGGTGATCACGCGAATGACCTCCGAGTTACCCGCACAAGCTACTTACCAAACGAACTGAATTCGGGCTGGGGTTTCCTGTTGCGGAAGGAAAGAGGCTCAAAGAAGCGACTTTCTACAACCCAAGGCAGAAACCCAGGAGGGTTCAGGGTTTAGGATTTAGGGTTTATAGGATTTAGGGGGAACAAAAGACGAGTACGTGCATCAATTCCAGGGCAGCCATGACCTGAACTCTGCGCAGCGCACTATCCTAAGCCCTTTACACCTAAATGGGAGTTTCCGAACATTGGGGGTACCATATTTTGGGGTCCTTATAATAAGGATCCTATAAGTTAGGGTACTATATTAGGGTCCCCTATTTTTGGAAACTCCCAAATCCTAACCCGAGAGCTCCTAAACCTAACTCCCAAGACCTGCATCCTGAGCCCACTTAGTCGTCAACCCAAAAACCACATGTACTTGGAGGATCATGGGACTTAGTAAGTAGGGTTATAAGTACCTTAATTGGGGTTATAAGTATAGTTACCCTAATCATAACCCTAGTTACTAAGTCCCATGATCCTTTAAGCACCCCGAAACCTAAACCCAATCTCCTGCTGCCGTGTCGGGAAGAATCACACAGAAGATCAACGCGCGTCATGTTTGAAGCCCTACTTGGACCCGGAGTAAGAAATCGTAAGGAATTTGGATTGGCAGGGTTAGGGGCCTCAATACTTACCATTACTATTTTGGTGGATACTTATCATAATTGTAGTACATGGGCCCCAAAACCCTAGTCTTATTAATGATAAGGCCCCTATATTAAAATGCTTCCAATCCCACATACCCCGAAACCCTACGGCCTCTATACTAAACCCCGCTAGGATCCTTGACAGTACACTGCTTAACACGGAGCCTTTTTCGAATTACCCTATAGATCCCTTAAAGGAACCCTAGGTCCAAGGCATTCCTTAATTTAAGTATATTGTGCAGCTCAAAGCTTCCTCCTAGAACCCTCCATCCCCGAAGCCGCAACACCCCAAGGACCCTCACACTGTAGAGCCCTACTTAAAGGATCATGGGACTTAGTAACTAGGGCTTCTGAAAGGGTCCCCTAAAAGGGATCCATAAGGGTTCTAGGAGAGGGGTTTTAGGGTTACTTAAAGGATCCTGGGACTTAGAAACTAGGGTTATATTTAGATAACTATACTTACAACCCCAATTAAAGTATTTACAACCTTACTTACTAAGTCCCATGATCCTCCAAGTACACCCTAACCATTGAAAAAAAAACTAGACCCGAACTTAACATATAAACCCTAAGCCTAACTGTTAAACCCTAAGCCCCTAAACACTAACCCTAAACGTTGAGCCTAAATCCTGAAACCCAATCCACGACCTGCCAACGCCCTAAACTCCAAACCTCAAACCCTAATTCCTAAACCCTAAACCTCTAAACCCTACTAAACCTAACTCCCCAACAGTAACTTGCCAAGCCCGTAAGCCCCAAAGCCTAAACCCCAATTCCTAAACCTCAACACCCTACACCCCGAAGGGCTCAAGCCCCGACGACCGAAACTTCCTGAGACTCTAAACCCTATAATACATAGGGGCCTCAATGGTTAGAATAGGGTTCCTTTAAGGGGTCCTTTAAAGGGGTTTATAGGGGATCCACGGTAGGGTTCCATGATATAGGGGGCTTAATAATTAGAATAGGGTTTTGGGTGATATTATACCATAAATATCTAATAAGGAACCCCCAAAATGGTGTAGGTAATTATTGAGGCGTCTATACTAAACCCCAAACGATGTGTGGTATTCGGGAGTTCAGGTCTTTTTGGTTTGGTGATCTAGGGTTGGCTTATAGGATTTGAGGGTTCAGAACGTCTGGAACTTGGGGGCTGGAACTGGGAGCAAGATTTGCAGCATAGCGGCGGCGAAGACCACGAAAGTGATGTAGATGATAAAGAAAATACAGTAGAAGTGGCTGACGTGCTCCAAGACGGGTCTGGCATAGATACCCCAATTCCCTGCAAAGGTGATCTCCTTGGCGACGGAATTGAGAGGGGTTTCGGTACTCAGCCTGCTGTCGTTAGGTGCTTAAGGCTTTAAGAGGATCAAGGGACTTAGTAATTAGGGATATAATTAGGGTAACTATACTTATAACTCCAATTAAGGTACTTATAACCTTACCTACTAAGTCCCATGATCCTCCAAGTATACTGGCAGGTCAAGCTGCACGACAGCTATATAGGCTCAGCAAGAGACTGCTAGCATTCCTACTTACGGCCCCCTCTCTGTTCAGCCGTTTGTGCGTAGCGAGAGCTCTTGAAGCCAAGACATGTACATGCCCCTGAACCCGAAACCTACATCTTAAACCCAAAACCCTGAACCCCAAACCTGAGAAAGTGCAAAACCTCAAACTCCTCATTCCGAAACCCGTCGCAGGTATACCCTGAACCTCTAACTCCTGAAGTCTAAACCGTAGCCAAGATTCGTACATGGCCCTAGACCCCTCAGCCCTAGACCCTGTAAGATCCCTACAGCGACAGAAACCCTGTAAACCCTTGGCACCTTCGCGGAACCCCTTCAAACTATAGCCAAGATTCGTACATGGTGTAAATCGCTCGGAAAGAAGTTCCATAGTGGAGCCAAATCCATTCCCTTCCTTCGATATCCTGGTGCAGGGGTCGGATTTGCGACCAGGGCTTAGAATTTGTGAGTTTAGGGTTTGCAGTTCAGGGTTTGGGGTCAGGGTTCGGGTATAGGGCTCGGGTTTATGGCACTTCTGGGAATTCTTTTGGGCCACACTAGGGGCTTAGGGTTGAAGATTAATTTTTAAAGTTCAAAGTGCAGGGCCACCGATATGCCACTCACGAGTGGTCCTGAGACTCGTCAACTCAACCCTAAACCCTAAACCCTAAACCCTGAACCCTCAAACCCTAAACCCTGAACCCTCAAACCCTAAACCCTAAACCCTGAACCCTCAAACCCTAAACCCTCAAAGCCTAAACCCTCAAAGCCTAAACCCCAAACCCTCAAACCCTAAACCCTAAACCCCCCAGGAGTCCTGAGACTCGTCAGTTATGTAGTCTTGGAGCAAGTTTCCGATCAGCAAACCTCAGCCGATTCGCGGTGAACAAAAAGTGTCTCTGGCTTTGTTCTTGTTAAGGAGTTCAATTTAAGTTACCAGTATAGAGATCCATAATGGTTCCTTGAAGGAGCTATAATGAAGGGTTCATTTAAGGGTTTAGGGTTTCCATATGGGGATCTATAGTGGATAGTATTGCTTCCTTATCATTGTAACTTCAGTTACACCCAGTAACAAGAACCCAGCTGGGTGCACTACACATCACATATTTTAGGGTATACGAAGAAGGACCCTTCAGGGTATCCTTGCTGTTTAGGCGGTTGATAGAAAGAGCGTCAGATTTGTAAAAAAAAAACCAGAAAGGAGGAACTGTCGAAAAAAGGTCATGGCCCCTTTTGGGATGAGGCCTATATAAACGAATATACACCCTCAACCCCAAACCCTAAACCCCCAAACACCAGACCCCTAAACCCTAAGCCGAAGCAACCCCTTTCGAATCGGAGGCTCGGGGCTTCAATGGTAAGGGATGCCCGGTCGCACCCCAAAATAAAAAGTCGTAGGCAAAAGTCTGAATAATTTCCTTGTAGACATTAGCAACAGCATCCCCGTAGATCATCGTTATGTTATGTCTAACAATAGCTTCTTAAACACCCTATTCTGAATCTTAGCTACTTCTTTAGAGCCAGGATGAGCCCTAACATGCGAAGCCGGTCAACACGACTGACATCCTCAACATCACCAACAGAGAACGTTTCACAGACTCTGAACAGAAGGATCCGGGATATAGGAACCGACCGCCCAAAAAACAAAGATTCTAGCTTGAAGAAGCCACACTGAAGCTCATCTTCAACGCAATGGAGCTCTGCGAGACTATGCACGCAAAACGTCATTGATAAATCCGACACCGAAAACCCTAAATTCCCAAGCGGACACGTGCTGGACACACCACATAACAAAAAAACACCGAAACCTGCAATCCTTTTCTGTGCCGGGGAGCCGGAGGAAAGCATGCAAAGCCCGAGCCTGGCTAGCTCTTCGGATCTTACTTGGAGGATCATGGGACTTAGTAAGTTAGGTAGGTTCCTCTAAGGGCTCCTTATAAAGGGATCTATAGGGTTCCTTAAAGGGATCTGTAGGGTTTAGGGATGAGGGTCTACTTGGGAGGATCATGGGACTTAGTAAGTAAGGTTATAAGTAGCTTCATTCGGGTTTATTATAAGTTTAGTTACCCTAACTGTCACTATAATTATAACCCTAGTTACTAAGTCCCATGATCCTTTAAGTACGGAATCAGACCCGGGATTTCGGGCTTTGGGGTTGATGGGTTTTTAGGCTTTATAGGGTTATAGGCTCTCAGCGCTTGTCGGTTTCTAGGATAGATATATAGGGCTTTCGGATCTTACGGAAATCAGTTTGGGGCTTTAGGGCTTAGGGCAGTTTAGGGGTTAGGGTTAAAGCTGGGTTTAGAGGGCTTGGGGCTTATATATAAGGTTGAGGGTTTGTAGATGTTTGTAGTGTTTAGGGCTTAGGGCTTGCGGGGTTTGGGCTTTGGGTCCGGAACAACATTTCAGGCTCGTTTGGGTCAAATCTGATTCGACATGTAACACAGGTTTCGTTGGGTTTGACTAAAGTTTCTCGTTGCTGTGGCTTCGAGTCGTTGTTTCCCTAAACCTCAAAACCCCAAGAACCTGAATCCTGACTCCGCGTTCTGTAGGCTACGTGAACTACCCGACTACGATCCTTCTGAGGAGGTTGGGAACAGTGCGACATGATGGTTTCAGGTTCAGGGTTTAGGTTTAGACCCTTTCAAGCAATCATTGTATGAACCCCCCTAAACCCTAAACCCCTAAACCCTAAACCCCTAGACCCCAAATCCCAAAACCCTAAACCCCCCTAAACCCTAAACCCCTAAACCCTAAACCCCTAGACCCCAAATCCCAAAACCCTAAACCCCCCTAAACCCTAAATCCCAAAACCCCAAACCCTAAGGCCCCTAGACCCCAAACCCGGATGGAACACTTGCAGGAAACCTAACCCTATGCTTCCAAGGACCTTATAGTTAGGGCCCTAGACCCCTTAAGGACCCAATAATAAGGTCCCTGGAAGCCTAGGGTAAACCTTCGGAAGACGAGGGGCAAAGCCATCGACCACTGAAGGAATCCCCCAAAAACCTCTGATACCCTAAACCCTAAACCCCTAAACCCAAAACCCTAAACCCCCCTAAAACCCTAAATCCCCCTAAAACCCTGATGGAACACTTGCAGGAACCCTAACCCGAAACCCCCAACATTAGGAAGACGAGGGGCAAAGCCATCGACCAGCTCAGGGATGGCAAGAACGAGCTGCAAGCCTTTACGAGGACACGGAGACCTCAGGCAGACGTTTAGGGGTTTAGGGGTTTAAAAGGGTTTAGGGGTTTGGGGGTTTAGGGGCTTAGGGTTTAGGGGTTTAGGGGTTTATGGGTTTAGGGGTTTAGGGGTTTAGGGGTTAGGGTTAAGAAAGAGTTATAGGTGAGTTTCAACGCTTTTTGAGAGCTTTATATGGGTTCTTAAGAGAGCCCCGGGTTTCTTGCTTTGGCAATCTTGTGCTTCAGGGTGCAGGGTTCAGCGTTTCGGCTTTAAGGGTTCAGGGTGGGGCGTTCTAGGGGAAATTACCGCTTCCCGTTTGGGCAGTGAACGTCCTGGGCCTCGGTGGGCAGGTTTAATGCTAGTATAAAGATACCTATAGTCTCCATTGTAGTTCCCTTTTTTGGTTAGCCAGTTTTACGGTTAGGATATGTTAGGATACTATAATAGAGCCCCCCAAAAGTGTACACTTTCAGTTTTATAGTGGGTAATATTATGCCAAAAAGTGTAAAGCGTATCCACTCAGCTACTGAGATAATGCCGCCACACTTACCAGCCGAAAGCCGCAAGCAAAATCAAGCCCATACAAGGCCTCGAAAAAGATGGAGAGCTCGTGCAATTCGCAACACACGCGCGAGCTTCACCACACGGAAAACGCGGAGGGTCGTTGCGTTGTGCGCAGGTGTGTCCTTAGTCAAAACACTTTAAAGGCAAGGACTGGGTGAAGTTGTGGAACCTGATGCTCCTAGTCGAACCCTAGGGCTCCAGTTACCTAAATAGTAGGTTACTTGGGTATAGAATATATATATATATATATGTATATATGGATAGTAACCTACTATTTAGTTATACATATATACATGGTTAATTACTGGGGTAAAATATATGGTTAGTAACCTACTAGTTGGGTAACCGGAGCCCTCGGGAAATTCTGGAGAGATTGGAACCTCGATTTGCCAAAGATGCAAGCGGGCGCAGCCCACAACAAGCTTCAAGACCCTCAACAGGAAACCCAGGTCCTGAATCTAAACCCTAAACGCCTCAATTAATCCACTAAACCCTAAACGTCTTGATTACTCCACTAAACCCCAAACCCTAGACTCCCAAATCCCCTAAACCCCAAACCCCGAAACCTCTGAAGAGCTAGCTATTGTGAGGGCTCTATAGGCTAGACCCAAGAGTAACCCAGGCATAAAAAGGATGCCCTTTTTGGTTTAAAGGGGTTTATAAGGGAACCTGAACCCTAAAAAAGGGAATAAGGGCCTACTCTAGGTCCTAGTAGGGGTTTATGGGGTTGAAGATCGATATATAAGGGTTCATAATCCGTATGGGATGAAGACTTCGGTTTCGGGGTTGCGGATGAATTAAGGTCAGGGTGGTTAAGGTCGAGGGGCACAGGCAGGGTTTTAGGGGTTTCGGTCGCGCCGATGGTATAGGGGTTGAACACTCTGTACTTAAAGGATCCTGAGACTTAGTAATTGGGGTAAGTGTACTTATAACTACTTATAACCCCAATTAAAGTACCTATAATCGTACTTGCTAACTCCCATGATCCTGCCAAGTAGACCCCAATCCCTAAACCTTAAAGATCCCTTTAAGGAACTCTATAGACCCTTTAAGGAGCCCTTTAAGGAACCCTAAACCCTAAACCCTAACTAGACCCTAAACCCTAAACCCTAACTAAACCCCTAAACCCTAAACCCTAACTAAACCCCTAAACGCTAAACCCTAACTAAACCCCCAAACCCTAAACCCTAAACCCTTAAGGAGCCCTGAAAGGGACTCCAAGGTCCTTGCGGCATTGGTTGATGCGTTGCCACGAGCTTCTTCAAGGCTAAAGGGAACTCCAGAAAGTTGGAATATGGTTTCAGGGAATTTGGGGGTCCTTATAATAAGGATCCTACTATTTAGGGTACTATACTAGGGTCACTTAGAGGGAACTCCAGAAAGTTGGAATATGGATTAATGGTAGGACCCCCTATAATTTACCTTAAAGGGGGTACGATAATGATATTCCAACTTTCTGGCTTCTACTGTAGGATACCTTATAATTTACCATAAAGGGCTTAGGATAATCATATTCCAACTTTCTGGCTTTTACTTTATGTGATGCTTCGAGTGGAATCAACGCTCCTGTGCCTGTAACGTAGGGGCCTTATTAGATCAGGTTTTAGGGGTCGACTATACTATAGTAAACCCCATAAAGTTGGAAACCGGATTAAGGCCAAATAGTGCTGGGATGTCCTATACATTACTCTTGAGGATCGAGGCTATAGGGTTTCCAACTTTTGGGCTTCTACTGTATACTGATAATGAGGAGCCCCCAAAACAGTATTGTCAAGTATTTAGGGCCCTATAGTAGGCCCATGGTTTTGAGTTCCTCCAAGTCCAATCCAGCAAACCCTGAGGGCCAAGTATCTGCAAGAAGTGCATCCATAACGTAGAGGTCGAAGACTGCAATCATCACGAGGGTGAAGTCCAGCCAATTCCAAGGCTCACCTTTAAAACACTCTTCCGGGGCTTTCGTTAAGCAGGGTTCTGAAGACATTCTTGCAGAGCTTTTGGCATTCCGCGAGCTTTTGTACTTAAAGGATCATGGGACTTAGTAACTAGGGCTATAATTAGGGTAGCTGTACTTATACCTACTTATAACTCCAAGTTATGGTACTTATAACCATACTTACTAAGTCCCGTGATCTTCCAAGTATTGATAAGGGGTCTTCCATTTGCCTCATCGGGATCGTCCCATCCAAAGAACCTCACGTTTAGTGCATTCCGCGTGGCCGTTTTTAAACTACGTCGGCCGTCAAAGCCCGTTGCATTACATGCGTAGACAAGATCCCCTTCTAAACCAGCAACTGGGCTTTTAAGTAACCAGGGAGAAAAAAGTATAAACTTTTATTTCATAAGGGTTCCTTTAAGAAAAAAAGTATTAAAGTATGGTACTTCAAAGCCCAGGCAAAGAATAAAAGCAAACAAAACCCAGTGGCCGACGTAGTCAGTACTTTCAGAGATCTGAACAGACCCTACCGTAAAACCCTGAACCCCTAAACCCTAAACCCTTAAACCCTAAACCCCAAAACCCTAAATCCCAAAACCCCTATATAAACCCTAAACCCCAAACCCCCAAAACCCCCAAAACCCCTAAACCCTAAACCCCTGAATACCCCAAGCCAGGTGACGAAAGTAAGCGCAGCGAATCCGGTAAAGGCGGTAGACGAGCTCGAGGCCGAAAACCATAGCGAAAAAATGCTCCTTTGGATTCGGGTTTAGGGTTTAGGGTTTAGGGTTTAGGGTTTCGGGTTTCGGGTATAGGGTTTAGGGTTTAGGGTTTCGGGTATAGGGTTAATGGTTATAGGGCACCATCATCCCTCTAACCTTCAAACCCCAGACCCTAAACCCTGTTCTATTGCAAACCCTAAACATCTAAACCTTACCTTAACCCTGAAGAACCTTTCTTTTTAGGGTTCCCTATTATGATTTCCTTATATAAGTCCTTAAAAAGGTAGGATCTCCAGGGTTAAGGTAGGGTTCATGGTTATAGGGTTTAAGGGTTAGGGCTCCTTGGGTAGCGAAAAAGTGCTCCTTCGGATTCGGGTTTCGGGTTTGGGGTTTGAGGGTTAGAGGGATGATGGTTTTAGGTTTCGGGTTTGGGGTCTAGGGTTTAGGAGTTGGGGCCCGCAGGGAGGCGAAGCAGCCACTTTCGGCCACTTTAACAGAACACTCACTCCTCCGAACGACAATCACTTGACAACGACTTGGATTCCTTCTGAGCTGCCTGACTGTCCATAGATTTTGGGTCACTTTGACTACTGGCTTCCGTCTGTGTCTGATGGGAGGCCAAACGGGGGTTTAAGATTCTTGGGGCAGGGATTCCTTAATATGAACCCTACTATGGGAACCCTAATCCCTACTGAACCCCCAGAGGCTAAAACCCCTTTTGGCCTCCTACCTAGAGGCTCATACCCTACCACTTTTTTAGGATACCCATGTTTATGGTTAGGATCTGTTATCTTAAAACGTAGGCGCCCTAACAAAGGGGTAGGGTATGAGCCTCTAGGTATGATGAACGACTCCATCATCTCCTCCCCAACCATACAACCCGGGTTTAGAGTCTCGGGTTTACGGGCCTGGATAATCGAAATAGGGTTCTTTTAAAGGGCTGGTTCCTTAAAGGGATCTGTAGGGTTTAGGGATTAGGGTCTACTTGGGAGGATCATGGGGACTTAGTAAGTCAGGTTATAAGTACCTTAATCGGGGTTATAAGTAGTTATATATACGTCCAGTTACCCTAATTATAACCCTAGTTACTAAGTGCCATGATCCTTCAAATAGGGTTCCTTTGAAGGGCTCCATGAAAGCTACTTTTCCCTTGCGGATCTGGCCTACAACGGGGGTTCGAGGTTTATGGTTCAGCGGTAAGGAGGGGATTTCGGCTTGGAGGTTTAGCGAATGACAGGGTGCTGCTTTCGGAAGGCTTAAAACATCCTGGCCTGACGGCCTCCAAGGCTTATAGGGCCCAAAGCCCCAAACTCGAAACCCTAAACCCCGAAACCTTAACCCTCAACCACCAAAACCCCGATGCCCCTAAATCCCTAAACCAGTAACCCCGAAACCTAAACCCCAAAACCCCCCAAACCCCAAACCCCTAATGGAGCCAAAGCCACGAGAAACTCGAGGACGGGAGTTGTCTCGCAAATGGCGAGGCCACCTGTCATCCCCAAAGTGCCTGGAGCTTGGTTTTGTTAAAACATAGGTTTAGGGTTTAGGGTTCAGGGTCCCCAAAGTGCCTGGAGCTTGCGGTGGATGATATAAAACCTCATTACCCCTTACGTGGGAATTATGGTATATTCCTTATTACGGGTCATGCAGGAAATATATCATCAGCAGTTGTCGAGTTGCAATCAGGAGTTTTTGAATTTAAGCTATCACAATTTACGATTCCACTGAGGGTTCTATATGGGTTTAGGGGTTAAGGAGTCTAATTTCAGTGAGCATAACAGGGATCTACCGTCAATAAGATAGTTTCCTTATTATGGTAACTTAAGATAAATTTCCTAAAACTAACAGGAACCCAGTTTAAGAGCTTCAGGGTTTAGGGTATGTAGGGGTATAGACTTTATCGCCTAAGCGCCTGGGGCTTTGCTGGCCAGGTGCTTTAAAACTTGGCGCTTAGGGTTTGGCAGTTAAGGCTAAGCGCAATGGGGTTTGGGGTTGAGAGGTTTGGTTTAGTGTGTGGGGTTTGGGGTTTAGAGGTTGGCTTTACTTAGAGGGTCATGGGACTTAGTAAGTAGGGATATAAGTACCTTAATTGGGGTTATAAGTATAGCTACTGAAATTATAACCCGAGTTACTAAGTCCCATGATCCTTCAGTAACCCTAAACCCCTTCTTATAGAGCCCTTATAAATCCCTTTTAAGGAGCCCTGGTTACTAAGTCCCAGGATCCTTCAAGTAGGGTTTGGGGTTTGCGGTGTGGGGGGTAAGTGGGCCGCAGGCTGGCAGATCCCACGGACCCGGCACGTCCTAGGGGCGACTTGCCAAATTTGCGGGCTCCAGCCCTAAACCCTAAACCCAAACCAGTGCGGCTCTAAACCCTAGACCGTAAACCGGAACCAGTGATGCTTTCCCAGCCCTGTTAGGGATAGGTGTTTGAATTTCAAGCGGCGAGCTTGGAAGTGGTTGGGGCGGGACTACATGCTGACGCAAGCCCGCGATAATGGGTGCATCGCTATTCCTAAAGTAACAGGCGCACCCATCGCGTGCACACTGTATAAGTAAAGACATCCTAAACCCTACACTCCCAAACCCTAAACCAAGAGTCTTTAGGGCTTTGATTTCTCCGCTCGAAGCCCAAATTGCCGACAGTGGGCAGCTTTTGCCAGCCTCTACGGTTTAGGATTTAGCCTTTCGGGTTTTTCTAGTATCCAGAAAAGCCAGCAACCTGCTGTATAGGCAACATGGGGTCCTTAGTAGTGAAAGGGGCTTGGGTGGTATATTCGAGTAGGTGTAGATGCATGAAAGGAATCCTAAGGAATAGTACTGTTAGTGTCGTCTGATAATTCGTACGGAATAAGACTGCCAACTATTGAGGCTTCTATGCTACCTGCGATTCTGGGATCAGCCCAGGTGCTTGCCGACTGGGCTCCCACACACTCCTCGGCGGAAGGGCAGCGTCAAGGTTTGCGGGTGCGGTGGCTTTCAAAAACTATGGGGGGGTCTTGTAACGTCACAACAGCAAGGGGTCTTGTAGCCTGCCAGAGATGATGTACAATCAACACCGTCCGTTGCCAAAAGCTTCAGACTAAAATTCAAAACTGCTTGCTTGCGCGGCAAGGGGCTTCATTAACTCGGTAACCATACTAAACCCTAAACCCTCAACCTTCAACCCCTTAGATACAGGGAACTCCAGAAAGTTGGAATATGGTTTCATGGTAGGATACCCTTTAATTTACGATAGAAGGGTTAGGATAATCATATTCCAACTTTCTGGCGTTTACCTTACAGGATCATGGGACTTAGTAACTAGGGTTCCTTAAAGGGCCGCTTAAAAGGGATCTGTAAGGGTTCTATAGGACCCTAAACCCTAAACCCTCAGCCCTTAACCCAGAGCCAGAACCCAGCAGAACACCCAAGGCCCAGAACTTAACGGCGCTAGTAAGCTCAACCTACTTCCACAGTTTCTGGGATCCAAAACTCAACCTTCGGGGACTATAGGAACCCCCTGCAACAGTATAGGTAACTATTAAGGCCTCTTTTTTGTAGGGAATCTACCACTAGAAGGTGCCATGGTTATCGAACATATGTGCGGTGGTTGTCAAAGTTAGGGTCCCTTTTTAGGTACCCTAAATATTAGGTGCCGTACTATAATAGGGACCCAAAAAGGAAACCTAATTTTGACAACTACCTATATGTAGGATCACAGTTTGAGAACGAAAGGATACTTCTTCGACGATACCCATCGATCCACTCCTCGAAACCCAGCTCTAGGCTCGACTTGGAGGATCATGGGACTTAGTAAGGTTCCTTAAAGGGCTCCTTACAAGGGGATCTATAGGGTTCCTTAAAGGGATCTGTAGGGTTTAGGGATTAGGCTCTACTTGGAGGATCATGGGACTTAGTAAGCACGGTTATAAGTACCCTAACTGGGGTTATAAGTATAGTTACCCTGAAGATAAACCCTAAACCCTAAACCCTAAACCCTAAAACACTAGGTACCAAGTCCCATGATCCTTTAAGTAGCACCCTGAAGCCCTAAAGCCTGCGACTCCCAAACAAAAGGCCTACCATCCAAAACCCCTTTACACCCATATCCCCTAAAACCCCCAACCCGTGAAACCCCATGCCCCCCAAAACCCTAGGGTTTACAGTGTGTATAGAGCATATCGGGAGTATAAGCTATTAGGGTAGCAAGTACAATATGGTTTCGGGGTAATTATACTGAATGAATACCAACACTGTTAAAGTGAAGAGTGGAACCCCCAATTCTATACTGTATAGACAGCAATCAGGGTGCATTTTTACTCCCTTATAGTAGTTTTAATGTAATATGGTATAATATACCACCCTAAACCCTACTGATCCCGACTGCATATGGACAAGAATTTTCTTACGAATTCTTTCGAGCGGAGAGTCCAGGTTGATTGCCATGGAAAAAGCGTTGGCAATGACCATGAAACCGATGACCTCGTGCACACGAGGGTGCGAGGGCCAGTAGTAATTTAGGTCAAATGCTACGGGAGCGTTTACGGCAATTTGGGGCTTATAAGTTTAGGTTTCTGGGATGGTGTCGCGGAGCCAGAACAAGGCTGCCTCGTAGACTCTCGCTGGAGTCTCACACAAGAGGCAAAGCTAATCGTATGAACACCTAAACCCGAAATCCAGAAAAGCCTAAACCCTGAACCCTCTACACCCTAAACCCTTGAAGCCACAAGCCTCCAAACCGTGCAACCCCTATAACCCTAAACCGGAACCATAAGCAAGGCAGCCAAGGGCTTAGGGTCATAAGGGCTTAGGGAAAACACCCCATCGGAGACTACAGGTAAGCCCCTATTAAAATTTCTTCAGGCCCTGGCTGAACCATGTAAAACCCTGAGCAAAGCCTTCGCCCTGCCCCTCAACCCGAAACCCGCAGCGCGAAACCGTAATCCGAAACTTTACAGATGTTTCAGCCCGAAACCCTGAGCCGTAAACCCCACACCCCTAAACCCTCAGAGCCAATACTCCAAAACCCTACAACTCAAAACCCTTCTCAAGACCTACACCCCCTAAACCCTACCTTAACCCCTTGTTTAAGGACTTATATAGGGAAATCATAACAGGGAACCCTAAAAAGGTAGGTTCTTCAGGGTTAAGGTACACCCGCAGATTCCTAAATCCTAGAGGAGGGTTTCGCTGCAGGGTACAGAAATCCGAGGCTTAGGCTTCCCCACGGTTAGGGGTTTAGGGGCTTGCTTGGATGATCATGGGACTTAGTAAGTAAGGTTATAAGTACCTTAGTTGGGGTTATAAGTATAGTTACCCTACTTATAACCCTAGTTACTAAGTTCCACGATGCTTCAAGTAGGGCTTGTTGGATTGTGTTTAGGGTTGGGGTTTGGGGCTTGAGGTTTAGGGTCGAAGGGGTTTAGGGCTTAGGGCTATTGGGGCTTCTAGGGCTTAGGGTATAGGGTGTAGGGTTGAGGTTTAGGGTTTGGGGTTTAGGGCTTAGGGAAGGTTTCGGGATGGGCTCTTTGGGGTTCAAGTAGCCAGCCCTAAATAGCATACCTGCTGTGGGGTTTCTGACTTTGAATTCCATTTCTAAGTCCTTACAAAAGGTGTGTCTTTTAGGGTTCGGGGAAGGTTTCTGCTGTAGCTCAGGATAATTCGGGGTTTAAGGGGTTGGTGCTTTAGGGCTTTATGGTTTACCAGCTCTTTCGAGCCCTTTCCACTGCCCAGCAGCCGTGTCGAAGCGTCCCATGATCTTGTCCTCGCCAGTCAACCTCGGCTGCTGGATGGGCCATTCTCTGAATTAGGATCCCTCTTAGGGTCCTGAACCGTAAATCCCTATATGCTAAACCCTGAAACCCTAGACCCCTAAACCCCAGACCCTAACCTCCTCCTATTTGTAAGAGTCCGTATTGTTTCTGGGACCCGAAACGGGACACTACCCTTATGTGAGCCCTCTGGCGGCCGAGTCCCGAAACCCTTGGGGGCGCAGCCGGATTAGTGCAGGGGCCGAGATTAATTACCAAAAGTATTAGGGGTTCCTGGTTTTTGCTAATACCATATGGGTAGTTGTCAAAATTAAGGTCCCTTTTTTGGCATTTTGGTTACCCTGAATAATCGGTGCCGTTTGCAAGGGACCCAAAAAGGGACCAGAATATTGACAACCCACCCAACAAATAGGAGCCCAAAGCCCTAGTCTTCTCACTAAGGCCCCTATCTTTTCTGTATCCTCCACTGGGCTTTTAAGTAACCAGGGAGAAAAAAGTATAAACTTGTATTTCATAAGGGTTCCTTTAAGAAAAAACGTATTAAAGTATGGTACTTCAAAGCCCAGTCCATCCTCAAATCTACAAGGCGGCTGCAGATCTACTTCGGAGACAACCTCCTACCACGGTGATGCTAATACTATGATAGGGGCCTTACTAATTAGACTAGGGTTCTTTAAGGGGTCCTTTCAAGGGGTCTATAGGAGATCTGTAGTAGGGTTCTATGATATAAGGGCCTGAAAAAATCAGAATAGGGTTTGGGGGCCCAGTATACTATCATTAAAGTACTGAACCCCCAAAATAGTATTGTAATGATTTAGGCCCCGAAAGTACCTCACCCCAAAAATCCAAAAACCTGAACCCAATGCCCTTGATCCTTTTTTAAACCCGGAACCCCATAAACTTTTCAAGCTCCGAGCCCCAAACCCAAAACCCTAAACACCCTAATCCTAACCCAGAAACCCCAACCCGCTCGACCTGCATCGACGTAAGCTCCTGAACGCCCCAAACGTCTAGGGTTTAGGGATTTGGGGTTTTGGGATTGCAAACCCTAAACCCCAAGCATGCAGGGAGTAAGGGGCCCCAAACAAGGCATCCACAATTTCACAAACTTCCTTCAGGGGTTAACGAACCCTGAACTCAAAGTCCGATCATCCCCCAGCCCTGATGGTTTGGGCTGTACTTGGAGGATCCTGGGACTTAGTAAGTAAGGCTATAAGCACCTTAATTGGGGTTATAAGTATAGTTACCCTAAGTTCAGGGAGAAGTAATCATCACTAACACCTGATAAACCCGGTAAACCCTCAGCCCTGGTTCCTCCGTTCCGGGTAGCTGAAGCATCTCTGCCGCCGCCCAGGAGTCCCTTACTCCTTCCATGTCCTTTTCTCCTTTCTCCGACCTCCTTCCCTGTCCTTTGCCTCAGGCGTAGAGGGCTTTTGGAGTTTAGGGTTTAGGGAGGGGTCGAGGTGCTTTTGGGGTTTAGGCACTTAGGTCTGTAGGGTTTAGGACGTAGATTGTTTTTAAGAGTTGCTTGGATCGGGATTTTGCTTGGGAGTTTCAAAGCGTTCTCGGAGATGAAGCGATTTGCCATTAGCTTACCTTTGGTTAGTAGGGAATGGAAGAATGGTAGTAATAGTAACAGTAGTTATAATTCTACCACATTCCTCCATTCCCTACTAACCAAAGGTAAGTTATAGGATTATTAAGGCCCCTATGTTATAGTACTCTTATAGATCCCTTGTAGCAACCCTTATAGACCCCTTTATAAGGCCCCTTTCAATCCCTACTAACCAAAGGTAAGTTAGAAGAGGTGCACTATGAAGTTGATAATCGGATTACAAATCGTTGATCTTCCGAGCGGATTCCTGAGTCCACACGCCCAAAACACGCGCATGGGGTACTACAGAGCCGTTCTCAGACCGGGCCGAGGATGGAAGGTTTTGGGTGCAGGGTTAAGGGGTTACGGTTTAGGGTTTAGGGTCCTTAAAGGGTTCCCTTAGTAAGGGCTCCTTAAAGGGTTCCTTAAAGGGTTCCGTAAAGGGTTCCTTAAAAGGGATCTATTATAAGGGCTCCTTAAAGGGATCCACAGGGTATAGGGGTTTAGGGCTTACGGTTTAGGGGAACCTGGGGGCCCAGGGCCTTGAGATCTGTTTGGAATTCGGGACTTGCTTGGCACCCGACGTGTTTAAGGCTTTAGGGGTTTAGGCTTTAGGGGTTTAGGGGTTTAGGTTTTAGGGCTTTAGGGGTTTAGGCTTTAGGGGTTTAGGGGTTTAGGTTTTAGGGGTTTAGGGTTTAGGCGTTTGTGGTTTTAAGGGTTTAGGGTTTAGGCGTTTGTGGTTTTAAGGGCTTCTGGGGCGCAGGCTGCAAGAACTTGAAGCAAAACTTCCAACACCACGCTTGGCTGTGCAAACTAATGGAGCGGAATGCCCAAGGTCTTACAAAGACTGGAGGCAAAGCTTCCGATCATACAAATCCTACACGTCAAAAACTCATAGATGGGCCCAACTGGAAACCCTACAAAACCTTAAGCCCTGAAGCCCTGAAACCCCTTAGACCCTAAACCGTAAACCCTATAGACCCTAAACGCTAAACCCTAAACCCTAAAACGGTACCTTAGAAGCCCTGAAACCCTTGCATCGAAGGGTAAAAGGAGGGAGCCTCAAGAAGGACCCCTAGGTATGTACCCTTAATATAGCTATGATATACCCATTATAACTGGGCCCTAAACCCTAAACCCTAAACCCTAAACCCTAAACCTAGAAGCCCTGAAACCCTAAACCCTAAACCCTAAACCTAGAAGCCCTGAAACCCTTGCAGTGAAGGTCGCTGATGGTTGAGCGCGTCCGGGTCGTCGCGAAGATCTGCCCATAGAGGTTGCCCCGCTCTTTACCTCCGCTGTGCGCCCCTTAAAGGGGACCCCTAAAGGATCCCTTAAAGGGGACCCTTAAAGAGAACCTTTAAAGGAAGGGAACCCTTTGAAAAGTTAAGGGGGTCGGGGTTCCTAAACACTAAATGCTAAAGGAAGGGAAGACTTGGATCAAAAACCCTGAAATCGCAAACCCCGTTGAAAAACAAACAAGACTGAATACAACCCGTATACACCCCTTACCATAAAACACGCTAATTAAAGCAAGAACAAAACATAAACCCTTGAACCCGAACCTAAGACTTCCCCAAACCCTATCTTAACCCTGAATAGCCTATCGTTTGATAGTAGAAGCCAGAAAGTTGGAACATCATTATCCCCATGCCCTTAAGGTGAAGCAAAAGGGATCCTAGCACTAATCCTCCTAAAGCCATGTTCCAACTTTCTGGCTTCTACTACAGGGTTCCAAAAAATGTGATTTAAAAACACCTTGTATAAGTCGTTTAAAAGGTGGGTTATTCCGGGCCAAGGTAAACCCTATAAACCTTAAACCCTAAACCCTAAACCCTATAAACTTTAAACCCTAAACCTTAAACCCTAAACCTTAAACCCTAATTCCTTAAATCTAACCCAGCCAGTCGAGTCGCCGTCTTGGCCTTCGCCATTGCCTTTGTCCGTGGCCTGCGTGGGTCGTGGGAACGCTTGAAGATTCTATTAGCGGTCTCTGAGGCTACTGTGATGCTACTTGTTGGGGACTAGAGGTAGAAAGGTCAGGTCTATACATATCTTTATATATATATATATACAGGTTCTACCTTGCAAGGTCTGTTTATGGTTTTTTGGAGTTCGTGTTTAGCGTTTAGATGGGTTCGGGGATGCGTGCCCTTGTCTAGCAATACAATGACCCTGTGTGCTTTTACTCGTACGCGGCATCGGATTCAACCTACTTCTTATTGCGTAGTTGATCTGGAAACTGACGACCGCTGCTGCCTGTAGCCACTCCGTAAGTTTGTTCATGCGTGTTATGCTGGCGCATTCTACATGTCGGGCTTTGAAAGACCCTAACCTTGCAACCCATAAAGCCTAAAGCCGTTTGAGTCTTGAACCCCATACAGCCCTGGGCTTGACATCCTTAAACTCTCAGGCCTTATAGTAAAAGCCATAAAGTTGGAATATGATTATCCTAAACCCTTTATGGTAAATTATAGGGTATCCTACCCTAAAACCATATTCCAACTTTCTGGAGTTCCCTTTAAGTGACACTAGTATAGTACCCTAAATAGTAGGATCCTTATTATAAGGACCCCCAAATTCCCTATTCCATATTCCAACTTTCTGGAGTTCCCTTTAGGGTCCTCGAAGCCGGAAGGCTCTCAAATTTTACCGCGCTTAAGCCGCAGAGTTGCTCGAACCTTGCGATTCTTGACACCTCCTACACCCGAAATCTACTGCTTCCTGGAACCTTTGGTTCTGTATGCCTTTGGTTGAGCTTCCGAGGTTTAGGTTTGGGATGCAAAACAACACTTATAAAGAGGCCAAGAGGGTTCCTCTCAAGGGTTCTAGAAGTGCTACTCTTGGGTATGACAGCGGCTTAAATATGAGGGTATTGAATAGTAGAAGAAAGTGGGATGACCCCACTAATTGTGAGTGCCCTTTGCAGCCGGATGGCAGAACCCTAAGATAACCAAGCCAGGAAAAGCCAGGGTTTAGCGTTCAGCGTTTAAGGTTTGGCTTCTTTTCCTCTGCGTAGTCACGTTTTCTTTGGGGTTTGCGCAAGGGCAGAAGACTTCAAGCTTCTTCAAACATCACTAGTTGGGATAAGATTAAAAGCTGAAGTTTTCATTCCTCATTGGGTTTAAGTACCCTTGAAAATGCAAAATGTACCCAACTATGATAACTATGACATAGATCACATGGTCATTAGCAGCCGACTTTAACCCCCTTCTGCCTCATGTGCAGGCCGCAGAAAAAGGAATAACTGTACGATACACCTAAGCCTGAGCCCCAACTCCAACCCCTAAGCAGGAATCCCTTAACATTAAACCTTACACGATAATCTCCAACCCTCGACGCTCTAATTGACCCTAAACCCTAAACCCTAAACCCTAAACCCTAAACCCTAAACCCTACCGAAACTCCAAACTAAAAGCCGGAGCCCGAAATCCGACCCCCTAAACCCGAAATCCGAAGCCGATTCCACCTTGGGGACAATCGCAGTATCTTCGGGTGCCGGAGATGTTGGGCACGCGGGTGGGTCGGAGTCCATCTCATCTGGCATAGCTGGCTGATCCTCACCGGCACTCCCCTAATTTGGGGACTTACTTATTATGATACTGGCTTTGGATTTGGGTTTGGGTGTGCCAAACTGTATATACATATATACATATATATACATATACAAACTCATTACGATGACGGAACCTAAGCAATCGCGTTGGTGAAGATTCGAGCTTCTAGATTGCAGCGTGGGAAGGACGCTGGCTACTAGGATCATGGTGAAGCCCGAATTCGCGGTACCTGGCCCCTGCCCTAGCACCACAACCATCACAGTAAGCAAACAGATTCTGCAGGAAGAAAGAAACTAAAGGCTTAGATCAGGGTTCAGGGCTTAAGGTACAGGGTTTCGGGTTTAATTAGTGGAGGGAGCCGGTTTCTCGTTTGTCCTTTGTTGGGACTTACAAGTGCTCGAAATGTCGGCAATGCTGTAACCCTCGTAATCTGTGACCCCGTAAGTCTCACTCCTCAACCTTGAACCTCAAAGCCTGCACCCTGAACATTCCTGAACGGTAAACCCCACATCCCTGAAGCCTGCACCCTGAACCCTTAAACCCTCTAAAGCCAAAGGTCTTAAACACATAAACCCTAAACCAACCAGCCCTGATTCCATTATTAAACAAACTCAAACCATGTGAAACCCCCTCGAAAGCCCTCTACAACTCCGATGGAAAACATATAGCCCGCATGCCCCGTTCTCAAGCAGCAGCAACAACAACGACGACAACAACACATCGGCCCAAGAAGCCGTCACCGACAGAGCCGCCATCGCAGAATTCCCCAAGAACTTTGGGTCGACTTTTTCCTGCGTCGCTGGAGAAATTCGGGTTTCCTTGACTTAAAGGGCTCCGGATCTTTAAGGGAATTCCCCTGAGTCCCTAAGAGTTCCTTAAAGGGCTCCTTAAAGGGATCTGTGCCGGCTCTATAAGGGATATACCTGCTGCCTGTAGGGTTTATAGGGCTTAACCCCAAACCCAAAACTCTAAACCCGAATCCCAAATTCCAAAAGCCCAAAACCTAAACCCAAAACTCAAACCCTAAACGAAAACCCTTGTTTGGGAGAGCAAAAACAGACCGAAAATATCGAAAGTTGAAGCCCTACCAGAAAACGCCGCAATGCACTTATAAACTTGTAGAAAAAGAAGGCACATGTCCGACAATCCTAAATTGGCCCTAAATCGTCAGCCCTTAACAAGCTCTCATTTCCGAGGATTCTTTTGTTGGATCCTCACACTCA